GTTAAGGGTTAACTCATACGTCGCAGGGCGACAATCCGAAGGATGTCGATGGCGTGCCTTGAGTATGGCAAACTCAAATCGGAGGTGTCGCTCCACACGCTCGTCCACTTCCTTGTGGCTGGACTGTAGGTTATACAGCGAGGAAAGTTTCGGTGCCGTTGCACCCATCGCTCAAAAGGTGCGGTTCGTCATCTGTAGCGCTTTCGCCAGGGGCGAGCACAATAGGTATTGTCCTCATTGCGGGTACACGAGAGCCACCTCGTTGAGCACGTAGACGAGGACGATAAGCTTCCAACGGAAATTCTTGTGGGACCGAGAAACGAGCTCGAAGAGCTTTCCGTGTGGCAAGTTCATCTTCTGTTCTGGCCGGGGGCCCGATGATGTGGACGCGTAACGATCGAGTTATCGCGTCGGGTAAATGACCGGCCGTGGATGGGTGCGCTTCAGAGTTGCCTTATGAGCAGCCTCAAGCTGCCGCCTCTGAGCCCCGTCGAGGTCATTGGTGATTACACCACGTTCCTCGTTTGACGAGAATCAGGGAAAGGACATGGGGTCCGCAAGGCGCGAGTAGGGCTCGTATTACGCTGCTGGCGCAGCTCGCCTTCCTCGTCATCCCATGCTGGAAAAGGAGTGTCAGACTCGTTTTCGACCACCTCCACATCCTCAACGAGGTCACTCGTCATTGATAGCGTGCGCAAAGCACGACGCTCGTTCTCATCGAGCCTAGGATGTACATCCCCCGGTGCCGCGGATGCACTGTCTGACATCGCACCGCGTGTGGGTTGAAGTTGGGCTCTGCCCGTGCTTGCTGTCAGAACCAGCGAGACTCGGTGATTTTCGTTTCGCGGACACAGGGCTCATTGGGCAAGGAAGTTGCTAAATTCCAACAGATTGACTTGCAGTGTCTAGCGGACACGCGAGCCTCGTTGACGCAATCATCGATTGGAGCTAAAAATGTTCTCAATCTTATTGGGGGAGGGTGTAACGGGTTTACACGTACCCTGGTAACAGAAGTGTGTGCCAAACGAGATGTGCATGGTGTGACTGCACCCAAACAAGAATACGGTATGTGGCTAGGTAGCCAATAGTTAAGCATGTATTTAGATTTGACTATTTATATTTAGTATATTTAGGAAAATCTAAAATTTTAAAATTAGGATAAAAAAATAAATAAAAATCAGTATTGGAGTGTAAACCGAGGAGTCAAATAGCCTTGGGAAGGCAATGATTACTCTTGGAGTGTTGGATTGCGATTCGCTGACTCGTACTTCGTCTAAGTATAAAACAAATGGTCGGTGACCTAAATTACGCTTCTTCAAGCGCTAAGCTACGGCAGTCCCGCTGCACACCCTATTTGGTGCGCACAATTCCCTCATGTGTGTTCTGTAACGCACATGTGGAGGTCAGCTATGCTTCCACAGATGCCCATTTGAGGCTTGTCTGGCGGACTTTCGCCAGCGCATTTTCAGCGTCGTGTACGCCTTCAGGCGAGCGACCGTCGCTTGTGGTAGTTGAGCCGACTATTGTACTTATCTCCCGGGGTTCAATATAGGCATACGAGTTTGAGCGTGCTATGTTGAATCGAGGAGAGTATATCGAACTAGTCGTCGTGTTCCATCTTCACAGAGAATACAGTCGCAGACGTCGAATAGACGACATTGAGTCTAAGCACAAAAAGGTTTCTGTGCCTTGCGCAAGTTGAACCCTCGACTCTACGAGTCCACGGTAACAAAAGCACACATAAAAGGATTGTATTTTCACCCAAGAAAGGAACTGAGAGCCTTAAATTAATCAGGTACTAAATCAAGTGACCCAGATTGAAACCAAATATTTCGAAGTATATCTACTTTATTACCCACCTAAAAGTAGAACCTGGTGTACTCCCTAGAATCCTATCCCCTACGCTAATCAGGATTCATCATCTTGTTCCTTTACTTTGGCTAATGATTTCGTGATTCAACAGACCCAAAGCGGTCTAGTAATATCTGCTGAGATTTTGCTACTCGCTGCTTAACAAGCAATGAAATTTTTATTGCTCTTTCGAGTTGTTTCCAAAATACACCGATTGCAAAATCTACTGACAGAGTATGTAAATCATACAATATCAATAGAAACGCTTCAATAATCGGCAATATCGAGAAGCAAGATTATTTATTCCTCGATTTTCGGTGTGGGATGCGAATGGAAACTGCTCGAAGCTACGAGCTCCAGCATGTTCTTCGTGGCAAATTCGGTTACATCGAAATTTGCGCGTTTGATTTCATCCAGCGCTCGAGGAGGACCCTGAAGTTGGCAGAAGAGCAAAGACACGTATCTGTGTTCCCCGACGGGTGGTGTAACTGGATAATAAGGAACCACTACAATCTTGTCATTGTCCTGAACATTCTTTCCAGTTGCAACCAAGTTTGCCAGAATATAGTGCAGGAACGGCGCGTGCGTTGGCGCCCTGGGATCCGGAGCATCCAGGTCGATGAGCACATACGTAAAGCGTTCGCTATAATCCGTGATGTGACCTTCGATGCAGACGCTAGGAGCTTGCTGGGCCTAATACAATGGATACAAATGTGAGCCTGGTAATGTTATCCTCTACCAGAAACAATACTTGAAGAGGTACAACCTCGTCCATGGGCACATATTGTCCCGGCAAGACAGGATGATCTCCGTCAAAGGCAATTATGACCCGAAGATTATCAAGGTTTTTTTCATCTTCTGTCGTATATAAATTTAGAGGTGGCGCTGAGACCGATGCGATAGTTTGTTCCTTCGCAGCAAGACGAAGCGTCGTTGGGGAATCATTTTCCTTCACGAGCATGATGCTGCTCACTTCCACAAATTGTAGTACCAGCCCCATTAGCATCATGCTCACCAGGAATGCAGCTGTCACAAGTAAACCTGCTCCACGAAGGGAAAAGGAGGCTGGTGTCAGCAGTGGTGGTGGCAACTTGGATCCATATGATGGCATTGGGCGCAATTTTTTTTAATATCAAAAGTGTACCGAATTTTTATAATCAATAATCTTGGCAAGTAATTACACCTATTCTAATTAATAAGATGCTTACGGAGGCGCCATAGCAAAATGATTTGGAAAATGTTTCTAATCTTCAATAAGCAAACACGAAGATCTTATCAAGCGGCATCAAAACTGATGAGGAAATAAATCTTTGTTTTCCAGACACGACAATATTTTCAATTTTCCTTCTTTTTGAAATTAAGTCTTATAGCAATTATTTTATATCATCCAATTCAACAGAGATTAACAAAAACTACTGCTATCATATTGCCCGTGTTAAATTCACAGGCTTGGTCGTACTACGAAAGACCGAGCTGATGGCTACGTCATTACTCGTCCGCATACCTTCATTTTAAACATCTTCCTTTCGCTTCTCGCGTTTCAGCGAACATAGCAGGACAACTGCTGCCGAAATCCATGCGACTGAGCAGATGCGATGCAGCTAATCTACATGATGGCTACAAGTGTACATCTTTCATTATCTCGTCGCTGCACTCGTCGGTAGAAAATGTGCTGTGGATTATATTAGTGGGAAAATAATAATCGGTAGTACGGCTGGATTTTGCTTAGTTAACTGGCTCAGCATTTGACAGCAGGTCGGTAAATCTTCCACTCCTGTCTGTGACTGGTCAGTAGACAACTTGTATAGTGGTTCGACACAGTCGTAGCTCGTATATATTTAGGTCTTCGAGATTCTTGATCACTAAGTGTGCACAGAGACAGGCCTATGAGGGTGTGGTGCTATAGCGAGCGTTTCAACGGCCGACTTGTTGTAGTGCAACATTCAACTGACAGCTACAAACTTTCATTCTCACATAATATCTGCAATCACTTTCGAGCCACTTAACACAGTTGATACTTGTTTCAGACGATGTAAACCCATCCAAACATTGCAAAATAAGCAGCGGCATATCAATTTTCTGTTTAATTATCTTTGCTCCTTGTCTAATATCAGAATTCTGTACCAAACGATGCATGCGCGACAAAGCAACCCGCGTCACGCTGTTGCAACATCGGAATCCCATATAAATGAAACTGTCGGCCACCCCGGTTTCCAGCCGCGGTTGCACTCTTGCTTTCCCTTTCTCGTGATTAACTTGGTTTCATTATACTGCTGTCTTGAAGTTACCTCGGCCCTTTTACAAAAACAGAACCATCATTCCTTAATCTATGGGGAGGGCAACACATTGTTTTTATCTTGGATTTAATATTGAATTGCGATCTTTTTCCACCGTGTCATCTCTACACATTTCTTTGCGCACTGCGCTTCCCATTCACCGTTCCACGCTAAAAGTAGAAGCAGATCAGTTTTGCTGACATCTCCTCGTCTCTTTAACAGCACCTCAAGACTACGCGACGAGAGGGTCGGAAGAAACGGAGAAACGACTTTCACTGTCACTACCACACTCGCCCACCACCCGCAGGAACTCCGCCAAAAAGCGTCCATTTCCGCCTGCTTTTTTTCTACTTTGTGAACTGACTAGCGTTCGTCATGTTTGGAGGGTCCAATACTTATAGTGACCCCAATGGCACAATTCAGTTCGTAGCCGGCAATTATTGTGGGACTACGCACGATTTTGAAGACGACATGTTCTGTGACGAGCCCAATGTCGTGCTCACGCGCTCGTCACCAACGCCAAATCTCTTAGTAGTGCCTGTGGCACGTGTGGCCGAGGTCAAGGAAGAGACTGTATCCTTTGATGGTACCATGGTAGATGTTGAATTCTCCGCTACAGTTGAGACCGTCATGGTGCCTACTACTACCCCAAACAGTGTTGCCAATGGCTTTTTGTCTATTTCCGATCGGTTTCCTCTTTCAAAGGTGGGAAAAGTTTGCATCGGTACGTCCAAGCAGGTGTTTTGTACCTCCCACGAGTCCAAGCAGCAATTTACGGCTCCAATTCCCATAAGTCGTCTACTAAATGACACACCGGAAATGACCCAGGTTGAGCAAATTACTGTTCTCGTGGAAGATGGTACGATAGATGATAACACGATCAAAGCTGAGCCGGAAGGTGCCACAACGTTCTTAGCTTCCAGTGCTACACAGCATCCAGTGATGAGCGACGTGTACCACTATCAAGCCACAGATGTACAAGAAAATGAGATGGAGGTACATGATGTGGTGTGACGATATCTGGTATATAATATTGTGCTGATTGCTGTGGAATAACGTTTATTGTGCAGCAACTTCGATGGAACATTCAAGAACAAGTTTTTCAACGATATTTCCATCAAGCACAGAAATACGAAGAGTGGGGAAAGCTGGAGGAAAAAGACGCGTACGCTTATCGTATTTGAGAAAATTGAATAGTCTACGGATCAAACCTTATTTCTTTATATTTTTTGTTCAGTCGAGTGTTTTTTATTCCAGGTGGAAGACGGGAAAACATCAAAGCCGAAAAGCGATTTCACGATAATGCTGTTCGCGATGCGACGGGAAAGGGAAATGCAACATGGGTAAAAGAACGACGAGATCGGTTTGAGGAAGAAATTCGACTGTTTTTCGTAAGTTTGTGCGATTCGTTGGGCAAATGATAGGCGGTGACTGACCTAGACTTTTATTTTAAAGCGTGACGAAACGAGGCACAAACAAGAGCTGATGCTTACGCGACTTGAAAAGGTGTCGCCGTTCTCGAAGTTTCCGATTCTCGGTAACCGATTTTTACTACTTCGTTTACGGGGAAAAGGAGGCAACGGAGAAGTATGGGATGTCGTCGATTACGCTAATAATAAGCAGCTCTGTGCTCTTAAACTTTCTACTTCAATTCAACACGCCCAACGCGAACATCTAACGCACTCAGTACGGAACATATCATTTTGACTGGGTGTGCCGTTTTCTCACAGTATATCTTGCACAATAGAAACTATGCCATCCGAATATTGTTCAGGTTGGTGACACGCCTTTTCTTATACGGTATCAACAGCAGCAATACACCGCATTCACAGTCGCAAGCGTTCAGTCGGATCTCCAACAATTGATAGAGGTCTTTAAATGTGGATTACACTGACTTTCTGCGGCGATGCTAACTCTGTTTCGTGACTTTATAGGTATATGAGCATCTAGATGATGACTCCGCCTACAAGGTGCTTTTCCAGCTTTTAAACGCATTGAAATATCTGCATGAAGATGTAAGTTGATGATATCATTTACAGGGCAATATATGATCGATTAATCATGCCTTTTTTTAAGATTGGTGTTGCTCACTACGACCTCAAGCCGTCAAACATATTGATTGATCACGACGGGTGTGTAAAGCTGACTGATTTTGACCTGACACGCAGCGCCAAAGCACCTACTCATAACTCTACCGTTGGAACTCTACGATACCTTCCTCCTGAGTGCTTTCGTTCCAATCGCAGTGACTGCGAAGCTACTGCTGAAAAAGCAGATGTGTGGATGGTGGGTGTAGTATATTGCATGATGGTAACGGGAAAGCATCCAATTTGCCCTGAGAAGTCGACACAAGATGAAGTAAAGACTCTAATGTCTCAGTACACAGGCGATTTCCGGTATGCACGGCCCATTTCCGATCTATCGCGATGGATTATGCAGGGTTGTCTCCATCCTGATCCGCGATGCCGACCAACAGCAACCCAGTTGCTTGTCGCGCTTCAGGACGTGGTGCCTAGGCAGTAGACCTACGCGCCGAGCAGTCATATTTTTTACAGCGATTAGGCTGTTTGCTGTATAAACCACGAAAAGCACAGTGTGCTTGTCGTATTTTGAGCGTGTACGTACGCTTTCGCATGGTCTAGCTGTCTGTCGCCCGTCATTAGTATCATATGAACCACACTAAGTATAAAATATATCTCATCGCTAACATTTTTCTAAGTTAGACTTCAATTCGTATCGCTTCTCCTGTTTTTGCCAGTTTAGATGACAAAAGTGTCGGAAACGTGCGAATTTGTTGGGTTCTTTGATGTGAAAATTACGTCGATTACCTACAGCGTCATCAAAGGCTATTCCGATCGAAAACAAAAACAGCCCATTGCCACGCACAACAGGGGGTTGAAAATTTTTGGTGCGAAAGCTCACAGCTTCTTGTCTATTTGCAGCATCGTGATACAGGTCATCACCAATTATTGGATGACCGATCTGCGCTGTATGAATACGAAGTTGGTGCTTGCGCCCCGTAATCGGCCACAGATCCACAGTCGAAACCCATTCATACCGCGCACTAAACACAACAGAATCCAGATTCAGATAGTCTCAAGCACTATTTTTAACAAGAGACACTCACCTACGTGTTTTGTACACAACTCGCATCGCAGTGAGACACGGCTTACCATCGATTGGATCAGCGAGGAAGAGCAGCTCACTTTGCATTTTCATTAGTGCGTAGGGAATTTCCATTGACTTGATTGAGAAAGTATCGTCGGCTCTAGTGACTGAAATTTCGCCAACTAAGATAGCGCGATACTGCTTCGTCACCGAATGCTGCTCCAGCTGTCTTGACAATTTCACTTCCAACTTTCTAGTCTTTGCCACAAGCAACAGTCCGCCCACTCGATAATCAAGACGATGTACTATATGAGGTGTAGGTAGTTCAGAATCTCCGGAATCAACCGTAGGTGGTCTATGTAACAACATTGGTAGTGCTTCTTCAACTGTGCGCTTACTCCGACCTTTCACATGAATACCCACGGGCTTAACCACTACTGCGAAAGTACTGCATTCGTACACTATACGCAGTCCTTGTGTCTCGCAAATCTTCAGCCATGACTTAGATCTCGCATCGTCAATATTGCTAAGTTGATTTTGTTTTTGCAAACAATTGTAGGTCAAAATGTCGTATACTGCGACGCACGTAAGAGTGGGGACACGCTGTTGCCCGTTGAACAATAAATTTCCTGCTTTCCGCGCGCGTTTCGCCTTCGAAACGGTGCCTAGCTCGGGAAATACTCGCGCAGCCACATGCACCCACTGGCGCATCTTGAGCTGAGGACTGCCAGCCAAATCATCAAATGTTACTACGTATTGCTGCCATGTCGAATACATTGGTGAATCATTTTTCACGTTAAACCTTTTAACAATTCGATGATACCAATCAAATTTATAAGAGAAATTTTTACACATCTTATAAAATTTACAATTTCGATTCAAGAAGGCAAAAGCTCGAAAGATCTTAGAGACTTGCATTGAAGAAGCAGTACGGAACGTGGCTGGGTCATCTAGTTTTGCACTTTTAATTTGCTAAAACATCCACCACAGACTGTAAACACATTAAACACACAAGACAGAGAGATAATTGACACACCATCAGGAGTGGGATGATTTTTTTTGCCCCACGTTGGAAGTACATACTTTCTAGTCTACTGCTGCATTATTTGCACAGGCACTCCATAGATTGGCTAGTTGTGTATTGATTCGCTATGTTCCAGTTTTTTGGACAGTTAATGTGTGCAACGTACTCATCGCACCATCCATTTTCCAGTGATAACATTGTTATTTAGTATCAAATTTATTGTTTGGATTTTATCATACGGTTCTATAGTGAGAGAAAGTTTGCGTACAGAATGCTGTGCTCTAGCACGTAAGTATCTAGCTTTTGTAAAAATAAAATGCGGACAATTTAAGAATTTTTTTGCTGTAGAAGAGAATACGCATTGGCAGGAGACCCACAATACCGGTATTACCAAACCTGTGCTTTAAAGACCGAAAAAAATTCCGTATTTATGACAACCAACATACGAACAGAACGACAATAATGGGTAAGGTGCCGCCGCATACAGCAAGGTTGCAACAGGGTTACACGTACCCTGGTAATAGGGGTTTGTGTCACACGAGATGTGCATGGTGTGACTGCACCCAAACAAGAATACGGTATGTGGCTAGGTAGCCAGTAGTTATGAATGTATTTAGATTTTACTATATATACTTAGTGAAATCTATACATTTAAAATTAGGCGGTTTAGCCGCAGATAAAAGTAAATCGAAACCAGTATTGAATTTAGTCTGTTAGCCTTAGTTAAGGTACTAACTCTTGGAGGTAGCGGATTGCGATCCGCTACACTTGTATTGGTTCTTGTGAAGAACAAAAGGTCGGTGACCTAAATTACGCTTCCTCAAGTGCAAAGCTACGGCAGCCCCGCTGCACTTGGTAGCACTTGTAGTCAATCTACACC